CGATGGCATGTGGATTTTCAAGGTGAAGCGGCCGCCTGGTTCTCCGCCTGTCTTCAAGGCGCGTTACGTTGCACGAGGCTTCAGTCAGCGACAGGGGGTCGACTTCTTCCAGACCTTCTCTCCCACCCTGAAGATGACCACTGTTTGGGTGTTACTGCACGTTACAGCAAGCGTGACTACGAGCTCCACTTGCTTACACAACTTTCTTGCAGGGCAGCCTACACGAGGAGATCTGGCTACGCTGCCTACACGAGGAGATCTGGCTACGCTGCCTACACGAGGAGATCTGGCTACGCAGCCTACACGAGGAGATCTGGCTCTTGGGTTTGCTCCTTCGACTGCTAACACGTCGCTATTTCTACACAACGACACTTTTCTGCTGCCGTTCTACATCCTCGTGTACGTTGACGACTTGGTCTTTGCTACTGCTGACACTGAGGCACTGGCCCTTGTGAAGTCGGAGCTGCAGAAGTGACACACCTGCACTGACCTGGGTAAGCTGCGCAACTATCTTGGCTTTCAAATCACCCGAGACAGAGCACGGCACACCATCACTCTGACTCAGTCACACATGGTGCACCAGGTCCTTCAGCGCTTCGGCTTCTAGTTCTCTTCGCCAGAGTCCACTCCTCTGCCTACAGAACACTCGCTCTCAGCTCCACCTTTGGACGAGTCCGTAGAGCCGAGTGGTCAGTATCCAGAGCTTGTGGGTTGCCTCATGTACCTGATGACCTGCACTCGACCTGACCTCGCGTACCCTCTCAGCATCCTGGCACGCTACGTTGCGCCTGGGAGACACCGACCAGAGCACTGGTAGGCTGCTAGGAGAGTGCTGCATTACTTGTGCAGTACATCGGGCATCGGGTTCAGTTTTACTCACTGGACACTCAGAACGCTTCTTAGGCAGACGACTAGGCGACTCAGCGGTCACAGGGTTACACCTTTAGTCTTGGCTCCGGTTCAATTTCTTGGAGGTCTACCCGCTCGTCTTCTGTTCTCAGCTCCAATTGTGAGGCTGAGATCTACGCAGGGGCCATGGCTGCACAGGAGTTACGCTGGCTGACCTATCTTCTTACCGACTTGGGAGAGAGGCCTCGTTCTCCTCCAGTCTTGTACGTCGACAACAAGGCCATGATTGCCTTGTGTGAGGAGCAGAGACTGGAGCACAGAACGAAGCATATCGCTCTGCGTTACTTCCTCGCACGAGAGTTGCAGCAGCGTTGTCAACTTCGCCTTGCTTACGTGGCCTCACGGGCCAACACTGCTGATATTTTCACCAAGGCACTTGTGTCTGGTGATCATCAGCGTTTCTGTACTGCTTTAGGCCTTGTGCCTACTCTGCCTCACTTGCTTACTGCTTGACTTTGCCTTGTACTGTGATCTATATATATATATATATGCCTGCATGCTTACTCTTGCTAGGTTGTGATCACAGTACTGCTTGTGCTCTTTGTAACTCTGTTTGTGACTTGGCTTTGTGGCCGCTTGCTTATGCTCGGATTGTGTGGTGACTTTGTGATCCACTCTGAGCTTTCTTGACTGGTCTTGTGACCGCTTGTTGTCCCCCACTTCGCCTACGGGGGTATGTCAAAGTATGCACTTATGTTACTGTAGGCTATACTGGGGTACATAATAGAGGGGATAACACATTAGGGTTTCATACTGATCTCCTTTGTTCCTAGTCATTTCATTCCTGCTCACTAGATTCTGACACAGAGCTACTTTCCTAGCCTACCCCGCTTTTTAGAGTGTATTACCCCTCGGGGGGGGGGGGGGGGGGGGGGGGGGGGGGAGGAAGGATGCCCTGGGGTCCAAGAGTTGCACGTATGCCAGCTAGGAGAACGAGTCAATTGCTCCTCGCGACCAGGAAATTACTGGGCACTCCTCTGCACCACCGAATCCTTGCTTTCGACGGTCGCGATCAACCATAATCTCCCTCCCTCCGGGCAATGGAAAGCTGTAGTTGTCGTGGCGTTAACGTGAGTTTATTTCCGCTACGTTTGCTATGATTTCAGAGATTAACATGTGTGGCAGCTGGCGTCAGCGGATCTGCATCGGCGTCTGCACGAATAGCCTCGGAGTCGTCATCATGTATGGCATCAGATTTGAGTCAATGATTGCACGAAAACTTCGGAGCCGTCATACGTGGCAGTTGACGTCGGTGGCTCGTCGTCAACTTGCGCGCAAGATTTGCGTAGTGTATTCCGGCAGCTAGCAACAACGGACCTGCATTAGCATGGGCGATAATTTCGGAGCTACTGTTGAGAAAATGACAGTTGGAGGGACTCACCAGGCGCAAATGGAGTTTTTGCATAAGAAAATGTCAGTAGCGATGAGAGGCGACGCAAGGATTGCCCGATTTATGCGTGAGTCAACTGCTGTCCCACCCAACCTATTAAGTGCACGGCTTTTACTGCATGGCGCGCACCTCGTCAAAGATTTCGACAAGAGTGCATTTGGACAGACGGGGACTCCAGTCCTGCCGACACTTACGCACTGCTACAAAACTGGCGTGGCTAAATCACACTTACGAGGAGTAGAATGCAGTCGGCAAGGGCAATTCGAGCATATACACCTCGAAAAAAACTCTCATGACGCTGCGTGCCTCATGCTGTTAATAGTTGTTCGGCCATTTTGAGAGTGGTTTCTCTGTGAGGAAGGCATTTTTGGAGACAGCCTCAACGACCCACCATTAAACGGCGCTCAGGGTACGATCCCGACATTCACGGGGGAGAGTAGTACAGGCCGCCGGGACACACGGGAAGAAACTGCCCAACGGCTAAGCGGGGGTTGAAGAACGACACGAGGAGCAGGGTAAAAGCCGGTGAAACGACCTGCGGCCCTCCTTCGCCCGAACCTCACCATCCACATCAAGTCCTGGTTCCTGCTCATGCAGTCAACCTACTTGGCCAAATAGCGGGGGTGAACATGTGCCTACCCTGTGATGGTTAAAGGCATCTAGATTGGTGCTCATTCGACAGCTGTACATGGAAAAAAAAAAAGAGGCGACGAAGTCGTCGTAGGGTTGCGAAGCGTTTTTTTTGTTTGAAATGTGTTCGATACATTCTATATAATTCATATCAATTTTATGCAATCTAGACGTGTGTGGTGTTTCATGCTATTTCTGTAGAGGTTTGAAGAAGGTGGTCTGTAGGAATCGAACCAAACAACATCTGATTCCAGCCTGAATATTGAACAACTGGGCTGTGTTGCTCGTGCGATAAAAACTTCCTGGTGCTTATTCACGACGGCGAAAATTCCACTTGCTTGGGGTTTGTTCGCCCTTTTTATCTCTCGTCAGCAGAGCGGAGCCTACGGTGTGATATGCGCCCTCTACCTACCCATTCGCCACCTACCACTCAAAGGTCAGAAGCCTATTCTATAAGCTAGGACTAAGATAGGTGACAATTGTTAGTCTTAGAACGTACTGAACCGGCTACTATCAGCCATATCCAATAGTGCAAGCTCTTCTCGGGGTCACCTCCGAGGGTCCTTGGGTGCCTGACCAAAGGTCAGCCCCTATCCAAGGGCCAGAGTTGTGTAGAGAGAGATTCGCAGCACCAGCAAGAGTGTAGTAGCAAACGTTTCTTCGTTGGCGTAGTCGGCTTTCTGAGAGTAGGCAGCGTGCTTGCAGTAGGAAAAACTATCCACTCTAGTTATATTCAAAACGAACAAGAACAAACAGTTTTACACTAAGCCAAATTCATTCTACTCCTACCTTCATCTAGGTGATTCAAATTCACACCTCGCAGTGCGAACGGTTTTTCAGGTTCCCTCCTATTTCTTTCGTGACCTAGCACTCTCTCGATGCGTCGCCGGAAATTTTTGAATTTCGTGCGCGATCATTGTTGACGGTGCCAATCCGATAATTGCACTTTACGCCAATCTCGAATGGTTGAGATCCTTCCTGTTTGAAGTTGCATAAGGTTACTCAGCTCGATTTGTGAGCTGAGTTGGATTGATCATAGGAACCGAGCTTCAGCATTCCAAGCAGTTTAAAACCACACTTACTTACCGAAGCAGAACTCGCCACGTGTGCCTTGCTTCTCGAGGCGTAAACACCCCTGCATCCGAGCTGTTCGCGTTGTTATGAACGTGAGTAGCCGAAATCACATAACTTCGCTTGTCTCGTCGCCAGCGCAATTAACGAAAAACAACTGCTACCCATGAAGCGCGAACAACTGCTCGCTCATTAACGAAAATGAACACGCTGCTTGAGCAGCGACCAATCATAGTCCTTCGACATTGGCAGCGTGAACTACTACTCGCTCGAACATTCGAGCAGCTGCCACTTCAAACAGCAGCCAATCCGACCACCACAATATATGGTGGCGCGAGCGGCTTGCTCACTTCACCCAGCTTGAACATTCCGCGTGAACCGCAACCAATCATAGCAACAGAAACAATTGCACCAAATCAGCTCGCTCAGATTCACTCAATATCAAACTCGAACCTTGAACCCCACCAGCCGCTCCCATTGGCCAGGACTTCACTTGACTTCCTCTATTATAGAAACTTGTTTCTGCATCAGCTTCAAATAAAACATGTCTCATGCACCCTGTATAAACTGAAATCTGCAGATTGAATTACAGAAAGTGATTTCAGTAATCAACAAAACCCCCTCTCAATCTGGCGATTATACATCACGCACCCTCTGCTTCTGACTAGTCCGTTCCCCAGTCTGTTAATAGCTCCTGAACTGTCTTGCCAGTCCTGTCACCCAGTGCTTTCCGCACATGATTCTCTAGCTTATTTCACTGTCAACCCGATAATCATTGCTGCTTTCTTGATCCTTGACTTGCCTCCTTCAGCATTCAACAATCAGCTTCTGCCCAAAGATAACTCCCTTCAGCTTCATCCCACACCGAGCATCTTTCTAACTTCCTTTTGCCTCTTCAACTGTTGCGTCGTTCTCACATGACCCAAACCTAACAACATCGCTACTCCCCGTTCTCTTCCTTCGCTGGCGCTACAAGTCCAACAATACCTCCCATCATTTCTCACACCCACTCCACCAGCTCCTTGAAAACAGTGATTAATGCCGATGCATCCTGGTTCCCCACGGCTTCACTCGTACCAATCGCCTTTCCGGTGTCAACCTTGCCAGCAACGCGAACACTCCAAAGGACAGTTTCTTCTTGCCATAGACGGCTGTGGATTCGCTCTTTGACAATAGTTCCACTCAGCTTCAGCTTGTCTTTAGAGGTTTCTGCACCTTTGGTACATGTGGTTGTCTCGAGCAGTCCATTGCTCTTGTGAAGACCAGACTTATTAGCAGCTTTCATCCCCGCGTTGCCTTGATTCTTGCTCTTTTGCACTTGACCCGCAGAAACTGCATCACTTGCCTTCTTGCCCTGATCCTCAGCTTCACACGACTGCAGTGATGGCACAGCTTTGCACACCTTGAACTTGGCAGTAGCCTTACCCCCCCTGAATGCAACTCTTCCCTTAGCCTTGGTTTTCTTCAAACAAGAGGCGATGGCCTTCAGCTGCTTAACCAGCTCTACTCCTATCTGCTTCAGCTCGTTTATTTGATCCATGCTGACTATCATTGACTCCCCCTCCATGATACTCCCCTTCTTAGCAGTTTTTGCTGCAACTTTCTTCCATAGCACTGTAGGTACTCGCCACAACTCATTATCCCGGCTCCATTCGTCGCGCAGCTCCCAAAGTACCCTGCTCCCAAAATTTCCCTTGGACCGCCCACCTCTGTTCTCAGAGTTCACCCCAGCAATAGCCAGTTTTCTTAGTGAAATCAAGTTGGCTGTCATTTCAGGCACAAAGAGCACCTTCTCAATTATAACAGGCTTTCCGTCAGCTCCCAAGAATGCAGCCTTTCCTGCACCCATAACCCTCATTGCATGCCCGGATACGGACTTAACTTTCGAGATGGGTGCTGTGCGGTTCCAGTAGCTCCGGACACAGTGTCATTGACCAAGCTGCTCCTGTGTCCAGAATCCAGGTGTTCCAACCAGCTTCTCCTTTTGCAGTTGTTGCCCGAGGTCGTTCTCTCGTTGCTACGTGGAAGAATTGCCCTGCTGTGCTACCATGTTGACCCCATGCTTCTCGCCTTCCTTCTCATCTGCATTCAAGTCGCTAGGATCCCACCAATCGGGTCGTTTGTCACAATTCACCCACGTGTGCCCCGGCTTCCGACAATACCAACAATTCCCCCGAAAACAGCCAAATTCGCTCCAGTAGTCATTCCTCAAGGGTCCGTTGTTCCACCGTCCGTAGTCACGTGTATCAGCATTCCACCTCCCATAGCTTTCGCCCCTAACTTCTTTGGGTCTGATCGCGTTTCTTTGCTGCCTGCCACTTGTTTTATCACCTCGGCTTTGCTTGCTCCTCCAGCTGCCTCCTTGCACACTGTAGCCACCATTCCCGTCCGCTTCATTGTTCATTTGGCGCCTCCTATACTCCTCCAAGACCTTGCTCCTCACCCACTCCAGAGTCCGCAGATCTTGATACTGTGGGAGACTTAACCCACTTGTGAGCTGTAGCCAGGACTTCGGCAGAAGCGACAACATTTTCATGCACTATCTTCAGTATCTTCTTCTTCGTCGAGGGTGTGAAGCCGATCTCCTCCAACACTTCGCGCAGCTTCAAGTACCATTGCCTAGGGGCTTGCTTGAGTCTAAGGGCCTTCTTCAGCTTCCACACCATCATTAAACCCCTCTGGCTGCGCCATAACAATTTCATCCTCAAGGATGCCGCTGAGGAACGCGGTTGTCACATCCATCTGCTTCACCACCCACCTTTGATGGTAGCCCCCGCGAGTAGGGTTCGCAGCGTCATCGGCTTCACTACAGGAGCAAAAAACTCCTTGAAGTCCACCTTCTCCTTCTGCTGGTACCCCTTGGCCACAAGCCTAGACTTGTAGCGCTCGATCTTGCCGTCGGCGTCCGACTTGATCTTGAAGAGCCACTTGGACGTTATCGCCTTACGCCCCTCCGGTAGCTCCACCAATTCCCACATGCCGTTCTCCTCAATGCTCTTCAGCTCACTCTCGATGTTCTCAGCATCACTACTCTCCAAGGCCTCCTTGAGAGTTGCTGGTTCTCCCGGCATCTCCACCGGAGAGAAGAACACGAAAGCACACTCCTCGCACTCACTTTCCTCCTCATCTCCAACCATAAGCGTCGCTCCGGCCAAGGCTGACTTGGCTGGCCTCCCAGGCGCATCAGACGTGAGCTTATTGGGAGGTTGAACTCTTCTTTTGCCCCTTCCTTCCTCCTCAGCTGCAGGGACTTGACGGCTTGCATGGTGTTGCTGTGGGTTGACGCGAATTCTAGGAGCACTCGTAATACGAGGTGGAAGTGTCGGTGCATGCTCGCTTGCTTGCTGCACCTCCTCCCCCTCAACCTCCCCATTCGTGGCCTCCTCTCCCCTATTCACGAAAGGAGATTGCCTTGTGATGGTGCTGCTGTTGCTTAGCTCCAAAGGCAGCTCCACATGCTCCAAGCTGGAAGTCTCCACCTCTCCAAACCGCACGCCTATCTTCGCCTCATTTTCCGCCTTCCAATCCTTGTACATGAGATTTTCCATGAACTTGCAGTCCCTTTTCACCAAGAACAACTTGGTGAATGGGTCCCAAAGAAGCCATCCCTTGCTGTTTTGAGCCATGCCCAAATGCACAGCCCATACTGCCTTGACATCAAGCTTGTTGTGCCGAAGATGCTTAGGCACGAGCGCCATGCACATGCACCCGAACACCCGAAGCATATCCACCTTTGGCTTCCTTCCAATCCACTCCACATAGGGCACCCATTTGTCTAATCCCACATGAGTCAACACTATGTTCTTCGCCACACACACACTCCGCACCGCGTCAGGCCAAAAGTAATCGGGTAACCCGTCTTTAATAAGCAACCTATGTGCTGTCTCCGTGATTGTCCGGTTCGCTCGCTCGGCGATGCCGTTCATTGCACGAAAGTATGGCATACTAAGGGAGTGCCTTATGCCATTCTTCTTTAGCCACAATGAGAACACCTTGCTCAGGAACTCTCCCCCTCGATTGGTGCGGATTGATTTCACAAGTCGGTCTTGTTGTTGCTCCACCATCAGTAACCAATCGGTCTTCACCGTTTCAGCCACGTCGCTCTTCTTGAACAGCACATACACCCAAGTCATGCGGGTGTAAACGTCGACCATGGTGAGGAAATACTCAGCTCCAGCAGCTCCAAGCTTCAAGGGGCCCACCACGTCCATCACCACCTCATCAAGAGGTGCCTTAGCCATTGCCTCCGAACTTGAGAATAGGAAACGGGTGAACTTGGCTTGCATGCATGTCGGTGGGCTTAATACCTCGGTGGGCTCCCCCTTCACACGTATGCCAGCAACCATCTCATTCTTCACTAGCTGCTGCAAAATAGGCAGGGCCACATGCCCCATTCGCCGATGCAAGGTGAGCCAATCACACTCCCCCGTAGCCGAAGTCGGATTGGAGAATGCCGCACTCGCAATAGTGCCCCACATGCTCTCTCTGTGCTCCTTCTCCGCTGCTGCCTTGGGGTTCTCCTCACCCTTTTGCTGCTCCTTGGCTACTGCACCAGTCTCCTTATCATCACCCAGCTTGCTGGTCCCTCCAAGTTTGCTCTTCTTGGACTCGTTCTCCTTGGCGCCATCGTTTGCACTATCGCCGCTACCAACCGCTTCACCCTTGGTGCTGACGCTTGCTGCCACTTGCCTCTCCTTAGGCATGGGGACCACAGGGATCTGCCACATCTCGTTGTAGACATCCCTATCCTCGTGAAGGTCCCAAAGAATCCGCTCGCCAATCCTTGCGGTGTAGGTCTTGGCTCCCTTCGAGCTCGTGTCCATGCCGGCCTTTTGCAACCGCCGCACGGAAATCAGGTTGGCAGCAAGGTTGGGCACCCAAAGCACGTTCTTGAGGCCCACCATCTTCCCATCAGCACCCTTGAACATGGCCTTGCCCATGCCTTTCACCTCTGCTCGCTGCCCCAAAGCCGATGTGACATGCTTCAGCGGTGAGTAAGTCCGCACAAGGTGTCAGCTATAGGTGGCTCCGCTATCGATCACCCAATAGTCCAGGGAGTGTAGGGTGACCTTTCCCACAGCTGCTGGCTCCTCAAAGCCTTTATCCTTCTCTGGTCCAGCCGGTGCTTGCGTTGACGCAAAGAAGAATTGACTCGGGAAGCGCTTGTCGCTCGACTCGCTCTCGTTGTCTCCGCCCTTCATGTTGTCCCCTTCTCAACATGCTACGAATTGGATCTGGAGCGTCTTGATGTTATCTACAATAGGCAATTTGAATCGCACGATTTGATCAAGCATTGACGATGTAACGTTAGTTTGAACGAACGGCACTATGGCAGCCACTATAGTCTTAGAACACAAATTAGGAAGAGTTACGATTTGGGAATGATTCCCAGCCTCTACAAACCTTAAGAGTCAAGGTACAGTGATGTGGAACAGTGCCACACTGTCCCCAACCACGAAGGGTCTCGAAACTACCCTCCACAGGGGCCTACACCAAGAGAAATTTTATGCTACAAATTGTAATGTAACTATTCTCACTATCTTGAAGTTTACCCATTTGGCGAGCTTTGAAATCACTTGAATCTTGAAACCAAGGCTCTGGTTCTTCACCATAAACTCATCCTTGAGTTCTTGAAGGGTCTGCTGCACACACCTTCGACACGTGACAAAACAGAAAACCGCGCACAACACGCGAACGACGACTTGACACGCGAACAGCGATAACTCGCTATTGACTCGACACACACATTCGACATCATGACTCATCATTCACACACTATTATAAGCATGAAATATATATTATCCCATGCCCTCATACCATTCCATGCACACACGCATGCACGCACACAGACAACAAGCCGAGTGCAAACCATAGGGTTGCACCAACAGGCAGAGGGCAGAGCAAAGCACATCCTGCTTCGGTGCGTCCTTCTAATTTGAGTTACAGCATTGTGGCCAGGCATGCGTAGTACACTTGGTATTAGGGGCCAACACCACTAATATATTCACTGAGGTGCTTCCACCTTGTTACCATTAGCAGCTCTGTACACAGCTTGGAATTCTCCTAGTCAGACCTCACTTGTTAGGATCTTGATCTCAGCACATTGAACTGGGTTTGGCTTTGTTTAAATATACTCATAAACAGGCTTTGTGACCATTTGTCTCAGAGACTGGGGTAGTAGTGCTACCCTAAGTTGTACCTCACACACTTTATTGTTCATACTGACTAGCCTTGTGGCCCCTTGCCTCAGAAGCTGAACTAGTAGTGCAGCCCTGAATTGTTTTCTAGGCATTGCTACTTACGTAGCCAAGGGTGCTTATCAATGTACACTCATATATTTGCTTTAGTACTGTTTTGGCTAGATTGGGTTGTAATAGACAGGGTATGGGATGCTAAATATACCTCGTTTGTTTGCCCTCATCGATCATTCGTTATGTTCCTTACACTTAGGTGGATATCTGTTGCATTAGAGGCAATTCCAGAAGAAATAATTGTTCATGCATTTATGACATGTGACATCAGCAACTATCCCCACATTCATAAGGACCACCT